AGAGAGAGAGAGAGAGAGAGAGAGAGAGAGAGAGAGAGAGAGAGAGAGAGAGAGAGAGAGAGAGAGAGAGATTGTAAACCCTGTTTGATGCTTTGACGGTATAAAGGGGAAATGGAATTGATTGTGAAGACGGGAGGATCGGGTCTTCATGAACCTGCATATGTGGAGTGTGGGATAGACCCTTACCAGGTCATCCTTGAATTGCCTGGAAGAATTTCACTATTCAGATATTTAAATATTTGACCATAGTAACCGTTGACTATTGCCTTCCGTTGCTTCCTGTGTATTTGTTTTTGCTACAGGGTGCCTGCTGCGCTGCAGGCTTTGTTGTTCGCTTCCTATTGATGGGCATCTATAAATAGATGCCTCGGCATCGCCTCTAGTTTTTTTTATTGTTGGAGTGAAGTTGCTATCACTGAGCAACGGTAATCGGCAGCCATCATTGCACTTGGTCTGAGGGCGCAGCGATTACGTATGCCCCCCTGCGGATGACTCAATGGGAGGTTGTTATCCCCAAGAGATTTGAGGGTAAGGATGGTTCATCGTCATCAACAGGTTTGAAGATGGCTCATCGACTTGTCGCCGCTAGATTGGAGGGAAGGGAAGATGTTTGTCGTCTGGTCGTAGACCTTATATTATTATCCTTCACCCTGGCCCTTGTGGTTTTGCGTTCAGCGAGGGGCAAACATTTCCCGCAAGTCTCGGGTTTAGAGTCTTTAGACTCTAGACGGCAGAGGTTCGAAACAGAGCAGAGAATGTAGAAGGTGTTGTTGTTAATCGATGGCTACCCAAGGAGGTTGCAGGAACACATTGCAATTCATCAAAGTGCCGCTCCAGCGAAGCTTTGCTTGAATCGAATTGTTTATCGCGGGCTAATAGGGGTCGGTGTGTGCATAACCTTTTCTGCGTACATGAACCACCACAAGTGTTGGGCACTGGATGGATGACAAGGGAGGGAGGGGGGAAGAGAGTATATAGAAGTCAAGGGGGAGAAGGGAGGGAAGATAGTATAGAGATGTTAAGGACGAGGATGGAGGAGAAGAGGGAAGGTAGGGAGGATATGGAAGGATGAAGAGTGATATCGCGGCGCTGAGAAGAGGGAACGAGGAGAACAGAGTGAAGGGAGAAGAAAAGGGAGGGAGGCAATGGAAGGATAATGGTTTGAATCCGTGCTTGCGGAGCTGCAATGGGCGGGGCGCAGGTAGACGAGATGAAAGGGAGGGACGCACTGCGCTACAAGGGAGGAAAGGTAGACGAGAGGAAGAGATACCAAGAAGGAAAGAGGGGGAGGAAGGTGTGCAGAGAGGAGAGAGAAAGCAGGAGAAGTGACTGGGGATGGGGGTGCAGTGTTCTATTATTGGGCAATAAGGTAGACGAGAGGAGAGGGTGGGAGGAGGCGAGCCACAAGGCGGGAAGGGTAGCAGCTTTGGATGCCTCACATCTGAGCCCTAAGTCCCCCTTCGTGCAAGCACGGATTCGAACGGGCGACCTCGGCCTCGAGAGCCAATCATCTCGTGGGAAGGGTAGACGTCATGAGAGGAAGGGACACGAGAAGGAGAGAGGGAAGTAAGGGGGGAGGGTAGAAACAGAACAAAGCCAGCGAAGGAAGTGAGGAATGGACTGCGGGTGCAGTGATAACGCGGAATTCACGGGGGGTGCAGTGTTCTATTATTTGGCGGTAGTCGCTTCAACATACTCTAGAAAGGTCTGTTTGAGCCAACCCCTGAATATGCGTGCCTCCTGCGCCATGCGCGTTCCCTTGCAATTTTTCTGAACTCCCCGGATGATTTTTTGCACGCGAAGCAATTGACCATGACTTCAATCAGGATTTGTTGTCGGCATTATGATGTGACAATGGCGATGTGTATCAGCCTATCAGGTTAAGTCAGAACACTTGGGATGGGGGGAGAGAGGGAATTTGGGCACACGTTCGTCGTTCCATACGTTGACTGGAATCTGGTCGTTCTTTTATGACATACTGTCACCAAACGGATTTTGTCGAACCTCTCTCTTTTGCTGACCTGGACATGCTGACCGTTCGATATTGGCAGTTTGCACATCCAGAGCAGCGAAAAAAGAGGCGCGACCACTCTGCACATCCAGCACAGCTTCAATGTTTCAGTTCTTACCTGCAAACTCGTGGTGTACCAATCGGCGAGCCTACGACGGAGGCAGGAAGCTGTCGTCTTTTTCAAGGCCCGCCATTTGAAGGGCGAAATGTTCCTCAGAAAGAAAAACAAGGACGCAATGGTCCTAGACGGCTTATTCCAGCCTCCAAGAGCCTAGTCGCCCCCCTCCCTCCCCCCCCCAATACTGTCGGGACCCAGGGAAGACGGGGTGCACTCTCGCGTTGGCAAGTGTGGTGCTTTGCAGGGATGTGCTTCGGTCTCAAAAGATTTTTGCTCTGCGTGCAACTGTTCTGTGTAGCGCATATTATTCACTTGTTCTTTCCTGACCGCATCTCACCGCAATTACGGCCGAATTCGGTCAATGACGTTGTGTAGTGAGTATGTGTGCCTCAGGATTGATCGTGGTCACGACGTTGAAGCAACAACTGCAGGTTGGGCTGGCAAGTGTTTGTCGGGATCCCAATCCTTTGGCCACATTCAGCATTGTATGATTTGTGCCATCTGTGACCCTGACCCTTTTTTTTCGCCCCATAGTGCATCCGTACCGCAGATCTCAAACACAGTCAAACGACTCAAATCTCAAGGGCAGTCTGTTGTCCGAACCGCACGTCCTCACTATCAGTGTGCATCGGGACCACATTTAGGCTCAAAGGGTCTCACAACAAGTCAGTCTCATGTGTGCTTCTCAGTCCGAGTGCCTAAATGTGGTCTTCTGAGCGAAGAGGGAATGAACGAGGACATTCCTTTGTAGCAGGAGGGCATGAATGTGGACGTGCCTTTGTACCAGGAGGGCATGAATATGGACGTGCCTTTGTAGTGGGCCGGCATGAATGAGCATGTCCTTCTTGGATCCCTTCCTGCTGCAAAGGCACATCTTCACTCATGACCCGTCCTTAGCAGGAGGGCATGAATCTGGATGTGCCGTCCTACCAGGAGTGCATGAATATGGACGTGCCTTTTTAGTGGGCCAGCATGAATCAGCACGTCCTTCTTGGATCCCTTCCTGCTGCAAAGGCACATCTTTTCACTCATGCCCCGTCCTTGAGAGCGTTGACCATCCTGCAAACAAAGGCATGTCCACGTTCATGCCCTCCTGGTACAAAGACCGGTCCACATTCATGCCCTTCTGAAGGATGTGCAATGTTGTTGCCAGGAGCGAAAAGGGAGTACGAGCGCTCTCAACTGCAAAGGGATAATCAAGCACCCAAAAAAGGGGCGCCTGAAAATGCAAAGGACTGGAAAATGACTGAGATGGACTAGAGAAATGAGTGAAAAACCGTGGTACAAACCTGGATGACGACGGGGCCCCTTTTTTGGGTGCTTGCTTATCCCGGATGACTAGAAAAATGACATCAGGAGTGAAAAGGGGCCGTTCCCAGCTGTCCGGAATGTCGGGCTGGACATTTGCCGGATAGATCTTGTCAGGCCCTGCACAAAATAGGAGATACCTCAGGTAGGGGAATTAAAAAAATAAAAATAAAAAATAAAAAAAGAGGCCCTGCACCTAGGCTTTCAGCCGGGCCGCCAGGGGCACCCTATTTTCCTGGGCGGCCCGGCCGTGCAAGGACTAAGGAAGGTCCCAGGACTCCCAACCGAAAAAAAAAAAAAAAAAAAACACTCCAAAAAATCA